TTTCTTTTAAAAAACCCACGAAATGTGAAAAAAAATTTCCCACCAAACAACAGATGACCAGAATATTTGTGCCGTTTTTTCCAGGGGCACGAAACCATTGAACCCCCCAAAAGGCCCCTCTCCCCTTTGGTTTCTCCTATTTGGGGCCCAATTCCCCTCGATCTGATTCCCAGAAAATAAAGCTCAGACCTCCGGACAATGGGAAAAACAGGATGGGGAAACCCTTGACACACACGATGCCTTCTACCTACTCACCAGGGGGCCCGGCAATCCCCAAAAATTACCTCTTTCTGAGGGGCCCCCGATTCCTTATTTAAAATGTCGGAATGTGTTCTGAGGTTTGCTTTGGCGCCCCTTTTCTGCACCCTTTTTTTGGTTTTATGTTTGGGGACTTCAGGAGATTTTGCTTGGGGTTTTTACTCCCCCAAGATCTTTTTCCTTGAGAGAGGTTTGGGAGTTCTGGCCCCCCGGGCTGTACTCCCGTCTGCGGTCCCTTTTTTGCCCTTCCCTAATCTTTATGTTTTGCACTTGGTGGGGGTTTTAACTTTCCCTGAGCCAAAATTTCTGGCCAGGTCTGAAAAATGTTTCCCGATCCCTTTGCAGTTTTTGCCCGGTCTTCAATCGGGAAAAAATACTTCTCATCAACTTCACGTCATCTGCAAAAAAGGGCACTTTGGGTCTTTTTTCCCTTCCCTCATGTCGTTCACAAATACCAGAAACAGCATGGGCCAAGGACTGACCCCCCTGGGACCCCCTGGTCACAGGGCCTACTCGGGGGGTGTGTGTGTGTGTGTTTTGTGGTTTTGTGTGTGTGTGTGTGTGGTGTGTGTGTGTGTGTTTTGTGGAGTGGGTGTGTGTTGTGTGTTGTGGGGGTGTGTGTGAGTGTGTGTGTGTGTGTGGTTTTGTGTGTGTTTGGTGCGTGTGTGTTGGTGTGTGTGTGTGTGTGTGTGTGTGGGTGTGTTTTGTGTGTGTGGTGTTGGGGTGCGTTTTTGTGTGTGTGTTTGTGTGGGTGTGTGTGTGTGTTGGGGTGTAAATCACCTAGTTGTACTCACCTAGTTTAGGGTTGGGGGGGGTCAAGTCCCCAGCTCCTGGCCCCGCCTCTTCACTGATCGCCTAGGTCACTCTCCCCGAGCCGTTTAGCTTTATCATACCTCTGCTTTTAAAAATATGTATGGATCCTGCCCCCACTACATCGTTCCCAAACTATTCCAATTACTGACTTTCTCTGTGGCTGAAGAAAAAACTTCCTAACATCCCTGTGATTATTGTGTCTTCACTTCCAACTGTGTCCCCTTGTTACGGGGTCCAATCTCTTTGGGAAATCCTGTTTTGTCCCCCTTGTCAATTCCCCTCGTATTTTTTAAAGTGTTATCATGTCCCCCCTATCTCTCCTGTCCCCAGGGTGTCAGGTTGATTTCCCTTAACCCTTTCCCCGTTGGACATTAAAATCTTTGCTCTGGGACTGGTTGTTGCAAAACCCTTTTCATTTTCTCCCAGTTTTTTTCAAGTGCTTTGGGGAGGGGTGGGTTTCCCAATTGGGGGCCCCCTTTTCAATAAGGGCCAAACGTACACGGTGGAAAGGGGCAGGTTTGGTTTCCCCCTTTTTTTTGTCGGAAAGGGTGTTTTTGAGGTTTGCTAGGCGCCAATGCTGCAGCCGTTATTTGGTTGGGTTTTTCGCTTCAGGGAAATTCCTGGGGTTTTTTCTCAACCCCCAAAATTTTTTCCCTTTAGTGAGGTTTTTTATCTCTGGCCCCTAGACTGTTTCTCCGTTCCCGCGGTTTCTTTGCCCTTCCCCCAAACTTCAAAGGGCTTTCATTGGTGGGAAATTTAACTCCAGGAGCCAAATTTTCTGGACCAGGTCTGCAGCCCCGTCCAGATCCCTTTTTTAGTTCTGCCTGGTCTTCGATCGAAATGAATTTTTTGTCATCAACTTTACGTCATCTGAAAAAAAGGGGGCAACCCCAGAGTCTATTCCCTTTCCCTATGTCGTTCACAAATACCAGGGAAAAAAGCACTGGTCCAGGGCGACCCCTGTTATCCCTGCTTGGTCCTCCAGTTTTTGCACCAATCTCTTGTGGGGAACTGTGTCAAACGCCTTCTTGCAGTCCAAGAAAATGCAATCCACCCACCCCTCTCTCTCTTGTCTTACTGCTGTCACCATGTCATAGAACTCCAGTAGGTTTGTGACACAGGATTTCCTGTCCCTGAAACCATGTTGGCTGCTGTTGATGAGATCGTTCCTTTCTAGGTGTTCCACCACTCTTCTCCTGATAATCTTCTCCATGATTTTGCATACTATACATGTCAGCGACACTGGTCTGTAGTTTAATGCTTCATGTCTGTCTCCTTTTTTAAAGATTGGGACCACATTTGCTGTCTTCCATGCCTCAGGCAATCTCCCTGTTTCGATAGATGTATTGAATATTGTTGTTAGGGGTACACATAGCTCCTCTGCTCCCTCTCTCAATACCCGTGGGGAGATGTTATCTGGCCCCATTGC